GTGGTCAATGGGAGTAGAAAAAATTACATAGTGCCTGAGGACAGTAGGAGGAAGAACAGTGCCCCACCTTTAGTATTAGTGGGAGGAATAGTGCTCCATCCTTGGTGTCAGAGGGAGAAATACTGCCCCGTCATTGGTGTCAGTGGGAAAAATAATGCCCCATTGTTGCTGTCAGTGGAAGGAATAATTCCTCATTGTTGGTGTCAGTGGAAGGGATAGTGCCCCATCATTTATGTCAGTGGGAGGAATAGTGTCATACTGTTTGTTTCAGTGGAAGTAACAGTACCCCATCATTGGTGTCAGTGGAAGGAATCGTGCCCCATCATTGGTGTCAGTGGAAGGTATAGTGCCCCATCGTTGGTGTCAGTGGAAGGAATAGTGTTCTAATGTTTATATCAGTGGAAAGATGTATGCCACACCATTGGTGTCAGTGGAAGGAATAGGGCCCACTGCAGTTGTCAGTAAGGGTAATTATGCCCCACTGTTAGTGTCAGTGGAAAAAATGGAGTCTCATTATTGGTGTCAGTAGTAGGAATAATGCCATATATCAATGAGAGGAACGTAACCAAGGCCTTTTATCTTGCCCTCTCAGCTCAGAAAGTTGGGAGATATGAAACTTCATATCATGACTGTAAAGCTATTGTTTTTTGCTATTGTACAATACTTTAAAGTATAACTAAAGGCAAAACTTTTTTTGTTTTGGATAGAGTGGAGAGGGATTAGAACACCTATTACATTTTTATTGGTGCCCTCATTATTGTCCCTTCACATGGGCATTCTGTCTGTCTGTTTTTCATCGATCCATTGACAGATGAAAAAATGGCAAACAGACCTAAATGGATGATCATTCATTTACATCTGTGTCCATTCAGTAAGCGTAGCTAAACAGATGTAAACAGACAAAACAGTCCATATTTACATTGGTTGTTAGGAATTGGCCCCCCCTCCGGCATCCTAACAATCAGTTACTTATCCCTGCTGTCCGTCAGAGGTCCCTTACCTCATTTTTTGCCAAAAAAATATAAAAAAATGATGAGGGGTCTCCCCCTAAATCCAAAACAGACCCTTATCTGAGCAAGCAGACCAACAGACCAGGAAAGGATGAGTGTGTAACCCCCCCCCCCGAACCATACCACAGGCCACATGCCCTCAACACGAGGGTTGCTTTGGGGGTGGCGTGTCTCCCCCCTAAAGCACCTTGTCCCCATGTTGATGAGGACAATGGCCTCATCCCCACAACCCTGGCTCAGTGGTTCTAGGGGTGCAGGGGGTATGTTTAGGAAGGGGGCCCCCAGATCCCGACCCTTCCATGTTACTGAGTATGGGGTACATAGTACCCCTACTCATTCACCAAACAAAATGACAAATAAAAATAAACACAGAACACAGTTTTTGACAAGTCCTTTATTGAAAAAAAAATGTAAAAAACTTTACTTTAGTGGTGGGGAGAACCAGCAATGCCATTTGGTGCTGGCAAGCGATGGGAGCGGGCAGTTCGGCGGGCGGTGGTTTGAATTGACCAATTCAACTTAAAAAAAAAACAACTTTATTAGTACAAAAAAGCTGTAGTTACACTTACAAATGGTAGAATCAGCCCCTGGAAGATGTCAATAAAGCTGAACTCCTTTTCAAATATGCTGGTCTACACTAGCTTAGGTTCAACGAAGTGTATGAGCAAAACGCTCCGTGAATGGGACGTGAGTGGGGGTGGGGGGACAGGGGCAGGCAAGATACTGCACATGATTTTGCAGCTGGCCCAGTGCTGGAGGGCTGGAACTCCCGGCACCCAGTAAATGTAAATTCTTAAAAGGAATATACCTTGTTGGACTTAACCCAAAGTAAGCCACACATTTTAAAAAGTAACTAGATTCCTAGAGTTCAGCTTTAAGGTTGTCATGGCCAGTGGTCAGGTTATAGTCCATGCATAGTCTTTCTGTGTAGCCAGGGATATGGAAACAGGAAAAGCTGGTGGCAACCTCTCTTCTGTCATGGAAGGGCTCAGTTTAATGACTACTTCTGCGTCTGTTTTCAAGGTAAAGCCTTATTGGCTCAAACCTTACAGACCTTATTAGTCTACTAGGGGGTGTTATCTGCATTGCTCTTGATCTATCAAAATAAACATTTTTTGAGGGCATAATAGAATTGTTAAAGTAGAACTATAGGCAAAACTTTTTTTTTTATTTTGGTTAGAGCAGGGCACGGTTATAACCCGTCAGAGTTTTTTTTCGCCATCTGTGTCCCATTGTTGAGATTTCCCTTCACTTCCTGTCCCACAGCTAAACAGGAAGCGAGAGGGAATCCCTGCAAATTAAGAGAATTTCTTGGGGACCCCCAGGTCACCAGAACTAGTTTCCCTATTGGAAAATTTCCCATCTATTGCTGTTTTGGGGACAACCCAAAATTTGGGATTTTCTTTTACTTTCGCTTTCAATGATAATGCTAAACAGGACAGAGAAGGTGAATCTTGCCCTCTACCCTATAGCGGAAGTGCTGCTACAGGGCAGCACGGCTGCACAAAATCATATATATACAGTTGCATGAAAAAGTATGTGGGGGATTACGTGGAGTTTTGCATGAATTGGGCATAAAATGTGCTCTGAACGTCATCTAAGTCACAACAATAGAAGAACACAGTCTGCTGAACATAATACTACACAAACATTAGATATTGCCATGGTTTAATTGCACATAACATATAAACATTCACAGTGCAGGGAGGAAAAGGTATGTGAGGCCCTAGCTTATGACTTCTCCCAGAGCTAATTGGAGCCAGGAGTGAGCCAACCTTGACTCCAATCAGTGTGATGATATTGGATGTGTTGCTGACAGCTGTCCTGCCCTTAAAAAACACACACCTGTTTTGTTTACTGGTTTCAAGAAGCACTGTCTGATGTGAACCATGCCTCGCAGAAAAAGAGCTCTCAGAAGACCTACAATCAAGAATTGTTGACTTGCATGAAGCTGGAAAGGGTTACAAAAGTATCTCCAAAAGCCTTGATGTTCATGTGTCCACGGTAAGACAGACTGTCTACAAATGGAGAAAGTTTAACACTGTTGCTACTCTCCCTAGGCGTGGTCGTCCTGTAAAAATGACTGCAAGAGCACAGCACAGAATGCTGCATGAGGTAAAGAAGAATCCCAGAGTGTCAGCTAAAGACCTACAGAAATCTCTGGCACGTGCTAACATTTTTGTTGACACATCTACAATAAGGAAAACATTAAACAAGAATGGAGTACATGGGAGGACACCACGGAGGAAGCCATTGCTGTCCAAAAAGAATATTGCAGCACGTTTGAAGTTTGCAAAAGAGCACCTGGATGTTCCACAGCACTACTGGCAAAATATACTGTGGACAGATGAAACCAATTGAGTTGTTTGGGAAGAACACACAACACTATGTGTGGAGAAAAAAAGGCACAGCACACCAACATCAAAACCTCATCCTCACTGTAAAACATGGCGGAGGGAGCATCATGGTTTGGGGCTGCTTTGCTGCCTCAGGACCTGGACGGATTGTTGTCATTGATGGGAAAATGAATTCCAGAGTTTATCAAGACATTTTGCAGGAAAACGTAACGACCATCTGTCCGCCAACTGAAGCTCCGCAGAGGATGGGTGATGCAACAGGACAATGACCCAAAGCAAACAAGTAATTCAACAAAACAATGGCTGCAACAGCACAGAATATGCCTTCTGGAGTGGCCCAGTCAGAGTCCTGACCTCAACCCGATTGAAATGCTGTGGCATGACCTTAAGAGAGCGATTCACACCAGACATCCCAAGAATATTGCTACACTGAAACAGTTTTGTGAAGAGGAGTGGTCCAAAATTACTCCAGATCATTGTGCAGGTCTGATCAGCAACTACAGGAAACGTTTGGTTGAGGTTATTGCTGCCAAAGGAGGGTCAACCAGTTATTAAGTCCAAAGGTTCACATAATTTTTTCCTCCCTGCACTGTGAATGTTTACATGTTATGTGCAATTAAACCATGGCAACATCTAATGTTTGTGTAGTATTATGTTCAGCAGACTGTGTTCTTCTATTGTTGTGACTTAGATGACGTTCAGAGCACATTTTTATGCCCAATTCATGCAAAACTCCACGTAATCCCAAGGGGTTCACATTTTTTTCTTGCAACTGTATATATATATATATATATATATATACGTGATTTGCATTTCCAGGAAGGGGGGGCGCGCGCTCTATTGGCAGCTGGGGATGTTAATCATCAGGTCCCGGCCGACGATTCCCAGCCAGCACTTGGCGATCGCCAGCAAAGTTGACAGGGGGGAGACCTGTGTGTAAACAAAACAGGTCTCTCTCCTGTCAGCATGGACATGCTGCTTTGTATCTCTCTGCACAGCAGAAAGATATAAAACACCATGTCTCCCTAGTAAAACACGCACAGCACACTGTTAATCCTTTGATCGCCCCAGATATTAACCCCCTTCCTGCCCAGTGTCATTAGTATAAGGTTAGTGCTTTTTATTAGCACTGATCACTGTATTAGTGTCACTGGGGATGTCAGTGATAGTCAGTTCCCACCCAGTGTCAGAATGCCTGCCGAAGTCCCCCAGTCCCACTATAAGTCGCTGATTGCTGTCTTACTAGTATAAAAAAATGAAAATAAAAATTCCAGTATGTATACCGCCATTTATAGACACTATAACTTTCACGTAAACCAATTAATATACAATTATTGGGAATACAGAATACATTTTGGCCTAAATTTATGAAGAAATTAGATTTTTTAAATTTTTTATTCCATATGTTTTATAGCAAAAAGCCAAAAATATTGTGTTTTTTTTTCAAAATTGTCAGTCTTTTTTTGTTTATAGTGCAAAAAATAAAAACCGCAGAGGTGATCAAATACCAGTAAAAGAAAGCTCTATTTGTGGGAAAATAATTACATACATTTAATTTATGTATCGTATTGCATGACCACACAATTGTCAGTTAAAGTACCGTATTTTTCGCTCCATAAGATGCACCTAGGTTTTAGAGGCAGAAAACAAGATAAAAAATATTCTGAACCAATGGACTGCAGGCACAGTACAGGAGATGACCAGAGACTGCAGACATAGTACAGGAGATGACCAGAGACTGCAGACATAGTACAGGAGATGACCAGAGACTGCGGACACAGTACAGGGGATGACCCAGAGACTGCAGACATAGTATAAGAGATGACCAGAGACTATGGACACAGTACAGGAGATGACCAGAGACTGCAGACACAGTACAGGAGATGACCAGAGACTGCGGACACAGTACAGGAGATGACCAGAGACTGCGGACATAGTACAGGGATGACCAGAGACAGCGGAGCGTACAGATGACCAGAGACTGCGGACAGTACAGGGGATGACCAGAGACTGCGGACAGTATAAGGGATGACCAAGACACTGCGGACAGTATAGGGGATGACCAAGACACTGCAGACATAGTACAGGGGATGACCAGAGACTGCGGACAGTAAAAGAGATAACCAGAGACTGCGGACAGTACAGGAGATGACCAGAGACTGCGGACAGTGCAGGGGATGACCAAGACACTGCGGACAGTGCAGGGGATGACCAAGAGACTGCGGACAGTGCAGGAGATGACCAGAGACTGTGGACAGTGCAGGGGATGATCAGAGACTGCGGACACTGCAGGGGATGACCAAGAGACTGCGGACAGTGCAGGGGATGACCAAGAGAGTGCGGACAGTGCAGGGGATGACCAAGAGACTGTGGACAGTGCAGGGGATGACCAAGAGACTGCGGACAGTGCAGGGGATGACCAGAGACTGCGGACAGTGCAGGGGATGACCAGAGACTGCGGACAGTGCAGGGGATGACAAGAGACTGCGGACACAGTACAGGAGATGACCAGAGACTGCGGACAGTACAGGAGAGATGACTAGAGACTGCGGACAGTGTAGGAGATGACCAGAGACTGCGGACAGTGCAGGAGATGACCAGAGACTGCGGACATAGTACAGGAGATGACCAGAGACTGCGGACAGTGCAGGGGATGACCAGAGACTGCGGACAGTGCAGGGGATGACCAGAGACTGCGGACAGTGCAGGGGATGACCAGAGACTGCGGACACAGTACAGGGGATGACCAAGAGACTGCGGACACAGTACAGGAGATGACCAAGAGACTGCGGACACAGTACAGGGGATGACCAAGAGACTGCGGACACAGTACAGGAGATGACCAAGAGACTGCGGACATAGTACAGGAGATGACCAGAGACTGCGGACACAGTACAGGGGATGACCAAGAGACTGCGGACACAGTACAGGAGATGACCAAGAGACTGCGGACATAGTACAGGAGATGACCAGAGACTGCGGACAGTGCAGGGGATGACCAGAGACTGCGAACAGTGCAGGGGATGACCAGAGACTGCGAACAGTGCAGGGGATGACCAGAGACTGTGGACAGTGCGGATGATGACCAGAGACTGCGGACAGCACAGGGATGACCAGAGACTGCGGACAGTACAGGAGATGACTGCTGACCTTTGTGGAGGGAGGGGGAGCGGGTACCTGAATTTGACAGGTACCTGCTCCCACTTCCGCGGAGTTGTCCTCCCTTTAGTGTGGGCACCCGGCTGCCAGCATGCACGAGAAGCTCTGCGCTTTGTGATTGGTCCGCCGTTTTCTGGGACCTGTCATGTGTCCCAGAAGACGCCGTACCATTCACAAAGTGTAGCGCTACTCGCACATGCGCACTGGGCACCTAGCTGTCAAGCCGAGAGCCCACACTAAAGAAGCCGGAACGGGGAGACTGCGCAGCGATGGACCGAGAAACAGGTAAGGTCCTGCTGCAGAGCTGAGCGGTTGGCCCGGTATTCTGACACGGCGGCGGTGGAAATACCGGACCGGCCGCTCCATATTTGCTCCATAAGACGCACTGACATTTTCCCCCCTTTTTTGAGGGGAAAAAAGTGTGTCTTATGGAGTGAAAAATACGGTAATGCAGCGCTGTATAGCAAAAAATGGCCTGGTCAGGAAGGGGGGTAAATCCTCTGAAAGGCAAGTGGTTAAGGGGGCACAGACAGCAATAAAAACCAGACAGGTGTTCCCTCTCCACTCTATTCAAAACTAAAACAAAAAGTTTTGCCTTTAGGTATACTTAAAGCCAAGTGACATAAGAATACAATGAAAACTAGATAATGTATAGTACAACAAACATGCAAATATCATAAGCATATCATACAACCAAATAAATGATACAAAAACATATAAAAACAGTCTATAAACTAGTGATACATTGATATCTGTAATAAGGGCTAAATCTGTATGGCTATTTGTTGGTAAATCATTTAAAAATATATACTAAAAAGGTGGTGGGCTAGTATTATGAAAAGGCTAAAATAACACTATATAGCCTCTAGATCAGTTGTCACTAAATGGCAGACCACGGTCCAAGAATGGCCCCAGCAGTGCTGCCTTCTGGACCGCCAGCCCACCAGCCGCAATGACAGAACCGCCGGTGAGCAGGACGGTCGTCACGGCAACCGTCAACATCATGTGTGCGCCCTTCCCCCTGCAGCTCACTATCTCTCTGGCTCCCGCTCCCTGCCTGTACACAAGCATCCTTCAGCAAGAATCCCGGCACAGCTCCTGTCTGCCCGCAAGGTAGGGTGTAGTCCTACAGGGGCACTCTGATGGGCACCTTTAATGTTAAAGGGTCGTGCTGATGGGCACAACATAGAATGTGCCCAGCAGAGTGGCCCTTAACATAAAATGTACCCATCAGAGTGCCCCTTAATATAAAGGTGCCCATCAGAGTGCCCCCTTCACATAAAATGTGCCCATCAGCATGCCTCTTATTTTATGTTATGGAGCACTCTGTTGGGCACATTTTATGTTAAGGGGCACTCTGATGGGTATCTTTTATGGTAAGGTGGCACTCTCTTAAAATGTTATGTTAAGGAGGCACAAATGGGCACTCTGATGGGCATATGTGATGGAAAAGGGCACTCTGATGGGGAAATATGATAGAAAGAGGTACTATGAGTGTAAGGCCCCCAGAGAAGTCATCAAACCCAACAATGTTCCAGAATCTGATTCTTGATCCTACCATAGAGCTTCCTGATCCACTACCTACCAACATGTCCGACGCACAGGGGGCCACATCAGAGATGTTTCCAGAGGTCTAACCTTGGACAGCCACCTGAACATTTCACACAAGGAGACTTCCTCTGGACTGCAAACTTGTCAGGGACTTTAAGTTCTAGTGGGATTACATTATCCTGCATTCAGACAGTAAACAACAAATTCCTCTGCTCTGTTGGTCTGATCATTTGGTTGATTCTATTACACAACACAGTCACTACACAGCAGGAGAATTCTAGTAGAAAGAGATGGATCTGGTAGATCGACTAAGCTAAAGTTTTTGCTCAGACAGCCTGCATACTAGTTGGCTTATTTCTATCAGCCTTGTGCATTCCAAAGCACTGCATTATCTGCTTTGAAAGATAAGGTTGTTTGCATGCAGTATCTTTTGATATCAAGTTGGACAATGTAATTAGATGTCAAGGGAAAACAAATGCACAAACAATCAATAGGATGGCTAGGAAACTATTTTTTATGCTCTAATAAAGTATGTGTTTAAGTATGTTTAGGTGTCTACGCCATATGAATGGCATTTTCATAAGTGTGTTCATTTGAAGCTGAAGGTCCTTTGCTTTGTAAAGGTTATATTCTTTTTTTATGTGACATTAAACCTTCCATTCTTTTTATTAAAGTAACAAATATGTTATACTTACCTGCTCTGTGCAATGGTTATGTACAGAGCAGCCCTGATCCTCCTCTTCTGGGGTCCCTTGCCGGCGCTCCAGGCTCCTCCTCTTTAGCCAGTGCCCCCATGGAAAGCCTCTTTCCATAGGGGCACCAGTAGGGACTAACTTCTGAGCTGTCCGGTCTGCTTCTATTAACACAGAGTGGGTGGCTCGGACCCACCCCCAGCATTTGATTGACAGCAGTGGGAGCCAATGGCTCACACTGCTATCAATCTGCCCAGTGAGGAGAAAGACAGCAGTGAAAGCCACTACTCTTGTGCACACCACTGGATCGGATTGGGCTCAGGTAAGAATAATGGGGGGGAGGGGGCTGGGGGGGATCCTGCTTGCTGCTGTGGTTGTGTGCGTGGTGAGCACATGACATTACTTAGCACCCTTTCACATGGGCATTCAGTCAAGATCCATCTGTCTATGTCTAGGAGTGGGCAGGTGTAAACGGATGATCGGCTGTTTACATCCACCTACATCCATGTCTGTTCATGGCTGTTTTTTGTAAATGGAACAAGGCTGCATCCTTTTCCTTTTAGATGGATCTGAACAGATGTAAAAAGAGGTATTTATGTCTACTTTAAGGCAAGAAACATTTTCCATTCTCGCTTCTGGTTTAGGACCCTTTCACATGGGGTGGACCTGTCAGCGGGTGATCTGTCTGCTGATCCCAACTGAGCAAGCGGATGACAGGTCCATGTCCACTCCATTTGTGCAGAGCAGACATGGACACAACCCACTGTCCTCTATGGGTGGTTGTATGGAAATAGACTGCCTGCCCGTTTCCATCCGACTGCCATCCAATCCGATCCAATGGACAGACCATCCATCTCTTTTTTGGTGTATCAGATAAGATTGGATGTTGGCAGGTGTAAACAGACACATATTTGTTTACTCCCACCACTCCATAGAGGAGAATTGAGGTTCTGATTGGTTCCACCTGAAAAACGGACAAGCGGAACATCCGTATGAAAGGGGCCGAAAAAAAAAAACAATGCCAGATAGTTAGGAATTTGCCAGTATAGTGGGGGGCATTTATTTATTTTGTATTATGTATATTAGTGTTTCTCAACCTTTTTACAGTCACAGCACCCTTTAAAATTATGCGCAATCTTGAGGCACCCTCTTCTAAATTTTTAAAAACTGTACTTATAGTTTTACATAACACAACAATATCATCACACGTAGGACACCCAATATTAGAAGAGATTTATTCTTCCAAAGCAAATATACTTTTTCTTACTAAAAACTGACCATTTTTCCAATGTTTCTCTTCTCCATCACTTTCTCTCCCTCACTCAGTTAATGTGACCCCAGTGCTGATGGAGAGTGGTGGTGGTAGTGGTGGTGGTGAAGGGGGGGGGGGGGGGTCAAACAAGGATGCTGTGCAGGCGGCCAACATCCTCCTTATCAACTGATGACTTCACTGGTTGTTAGGACTCCAGTGGCTGGAAGGTTGTAATGGTGCACAATGAACACCTGTGGATTTGTGTAACTAAAGAGTAGGTTTGATCCACTCGCTTGTATACAATATTTGGGCAATTTTTAGGCATTTTGCCAAGGTACCTCTGAAGACACCTGAAGGCACCCTGGTTGAAAAAAAGGCTAATCTACAATATGTAACTAATGTTTAATGTGACATTTGACCTAAATGTACTTTCTTTACAGAGAAATTGAAATTTTTATTTGTACAACTTGGAAAAATTACAAAACAACATAGTATAACAACCAATAAATTATTATAGAGAACAGCTTACAACTGACCGGTACACCTTGTCATACTTTTCCTGTCAACTTAGCTTGGGAATAAGATCTCAGTTAATAGTTAAATATTGTCATCTCACTAAAGGGTTAAATTCCTTAGTGGAATCTTGCCATCCTTAAACACATTATAATAATTTTCATAGGGTACATGAGAACAGTACCATGAGAACGGAAGTTATTTTAAAAATAACTCTATACTGGAAACAATCATGTTATACAAGTTTTCCAGTAATATCTTCTGTCTTATTTATTAAATTGGTACATTTCTTTTTTTTTTCATGAAATATACTAATATAAGGATAAACAGAGTAGCAGTGAATATAACTTTTCTGGAATCAAAGTTTACACATACAATTTATGGCACAGTTTTTTTTCTGTAAAGTTACTTTCAGCTCATTTTACAATGTAAATATGTGAAATAAACAATGCTTACTAGAAATTATACAGTCATTCAAAATTCGCTCCTCTGGCTATTCTCTAAAAATTAAGGTACAAAATTCCATCAGCAAAACTGTGCTGCATAAATGAATTAAATATAAAAATTAGTTATAACGTTTTAGGATTTTTGCGTAGGGGATGAAGGAGTACGATGACAATACACAACTTGAAATTCATCTGATTCCTGCTAATTTGTCGAAAATGTGAGTTGTTGGTGGCCACGTCAATACCACCTGGCTGGACAAAAATAGATTTCAAAGTCAAAGGAGCTGGGTAGACCATTGTCAGCCAAACAGCGACTTCAGGCAATCAGATGCATTCACTGATTGAGTATTCAGACAGCTATG